GTTCGTATAAGAAATTGTAATTTCTTATACGAACAAAACTTTAAATTAAGCAACTCAGATCATTCTTTATTATTTACCACCATAATAAAGGCATCCCCTCAAGCTTCTCCCCACATCTTTTCTTTTCTTTTTCTTTTCTTTTCTTCTTTGTTTTTTTTTCTTTTTTTTTTTTATATGAGGATTACTATATCTGGATAGTCTTTAATGGTTTTGAGCTTCACTATCTACTTCTTAAAGTCAAAAACTTGTCACATTTCTCCACTTAAAAAATTTATATTAGCTTAAAGATTTCATAAAACATTAAATTGCGCATAATACATAAAATCAGAATTTGCCTTCTTATTTATGTTTATGATAAGCTAATCACATGAAATTCATCAACCGAAATAAATAAATAAATAAATAAATTTAATTATATCATTTTCTAAGATTACAAATAAACAAAACTATAAAAGGATATTTTGTCCATCAAACAAAATATTTAAGTGATCTCTTAAAGAAAGCTGGATTAATGCAAACAAAACCTGTATTAACCCCTTCACCTCTTGAACCTTTGAAAAATATCACCAACATATCACCCATTAACAATCCTCAATATTACAGACAATTAATTGGTATATTACAATACCTCACTATGAAAAGACCAGACATCATGTTTACTGTAAACTCATTAAGTCAACACATGCACAAACCGAACACACGCCACTACAATTTGTTCCAAAGGCTTCTTCGCTACCTCAAATAAACATTAAACTATGGGTTACCCTTCATTCCCGGACCACTGTATTTACATGCATACACTGATGCTGATTGGGCCAACGACATCAACGACAGAAAATCAACAACAGGTTATTGCATTTATCTAGGATTTAATCTAATCTCTTGGTCTTCTAAGAAGCAGAACACCGTTGCTCGATCCTCCACAAAGGCCGGGTACAGAGCCCATACAACAACTACTACAAAAATCTTATGGCTACGACGTCTACTTGAAAAACTTACAGGGTATTCTTCTCATCCCGTCAAATTATACAGTGAAAGCACTTCAGCTACGCTCTTGCACATAATCCAGTATTTCATGCTCGAACTAAGCACATCAAAGTGGATTATCACTTCATACTAGATCATATCAAGCATAAACACATTCTCCTCCAGCATATTATGTCCCAGGATCAACCCGCAGACATATACCAGACATCGTGAGCTTACCAACAAGCTAACCATCATCTCATCATATGCTTAGCTTGACAGGGGATATTGGAAGGAACTTATCTGCTCCAATGATACAGAGATTGCTCCTATCATGAATGACCTTCTCCTCTGCTTCTTCTCTGGCTCGTGTCCATGCCCTCGCTCCGCCTCTCCCGCATTCAGATATTTAGGTTTAGTTCAATATGTTGCTTTTATATTAACCAATCAATGGTTGTATAATGATATTCTTTCCTTCTGTAATATTACAAGTATGCTGTTATACAGACTTATAAATAAAGCTTGTAACAGGAACATTTAGTTATGAATGAAATATCATTTTTCCACTTATCTGATCAGCATTCTTCTTCTCCTTCCTGTTTCTTTATAAGAGCACACAACAGGGGGCTAGGAAGAAGAAAGAAAACAGCCTAAGGAAAATAGCTTTTTTTCTTCTGTGTGTCAAAAATCTGTCCTCAAATCGCTAAAATTAAAATAGCCAAGTGGTATCAAGTGATGACTGATATCATAACAAACCAAAGTAGCTACTGTTACTAGAAAATAAGAACACAAACTAAAAAGAAAACTGAAAAAAAAATGCTATAAATCAAAACTTCAAATGGATTACTGTTTCAGGTCTTTTCATAAGATCAAAAGTTCACCAAATTGCAAATTTAGCAACTAACTGTGTAAAATAAGAGAAGTATAAAAAATAAAAGCTAACGCACCAAAAAATTTAAGCTGAGCTGCTTTTTTGACTACATAGAGATTAAATTCGTATAGAACAGAAAGCTTGAAGAGGAAAAACCAGGAAAAGAAAAACTAATTTGGCTACGCAGTTCTGTAAATATGCATTCACGCCAAAATTAAGAAAAAAAAACATGTAAAATCCTATAAACCAAAACTTGAATATGAATTAGAGTGGTTCCATTGCCAAATCAAGGAAAAGCTAAGGAAGATACTCAGATTGAACTAGGGTTTCCGTGAGAGGCAAAGTGAGGTATCATGAATTAGTAGAATCCAAAAAGAACAAAAACCCCACAAAACAAACACTCCTAGACTTGCAAAATCGAGAAAAACCTGGCCGAAGAACTCTGATTAAGATCTAGGGTTTGAATCTGAGATCGGCAAAAAATTTTGGACCATTTCTCGATTTATGCGTGTCATCCTTGCGCAGGGGCCATGCTAATCTTCTCTGTATCGTTCCAATTTTATCGGATGTCTCCGAAGAGACGCTCTAGCATTGCACGGAAAGAACTAAGAAGAAAGGCATGATATTGCGTCAAATCAATGTGGGACTAATGACGCGACGTCTCACTTGAGAAAACCCATTGTAAAAAATAGGTGTCACTTATTTAATTGAAGGATGATATTTTATTTTAATTTTAGAGAATTAATATATATATATATATATATATATAATAAAACATAAATATGCCGATTTATTGAAAAAAAAAATGTATGAATCATTTTACAATGTTGAAGATTAATGTCATTCATAATCTCTACTTTTAATTGCAAATTGCTTCAAATTTATTAAATGTCTTTCGGCCATATATATATATATATATATATATATATATATATATATATATAATGAAGAGTAATAGTCCGTATTAGTTTTGAAAGTTATTTAAAATGAATATAATATGTAACTAATCAATCATATTTTATATTACATTTATTATAAGAAAATTGATTATAGATCAATGCGATGAACTTTAAATCGAACATCTTAATCCAAATTTGATTTCTTAGAAAGGTGTGTCAAACTAGATCAAATTATTGGAGTGTTCAAAGTTAGATCCATTTTATAAATACAGTTATTACATTTAAAAAAAATCATAAAGTTGAAGATACTTTATGGTTTGAAGCAAGTACTCAAGCTTGGCATAGACATGTTGATTCATTTTTCAGAAAGATAGTGTTGTATAATGTTCTTATGAGTGTGCTATCTATATAAAAGAGAAAGAAACATAACGCTAAGTGATTTGAATGGAAATGACCTTATTTTTCACATAAAACAATGTCGTAATAATGTTTAGTGAGTTTAATGTAACCATGGCTTGAGAGTCTAAGATGAAAAACAAAGGATTTATGACTTACATCTCTCATTGGCAGACACTACAAGTTGAAGAAGATATATTTGTATCATACAAGTATTATGCAAATTCAGCTCTAAAAAAGTTGGAATGAATGATTGTGATCTGATTAACAATCTCATTGGTTGTGAGGTAAAGCCATCAGGTTAGGCAAACTTAGATTCCTGTCCTTAGCTTAGGCAAACATGACCCTTGATAGGATTATCAAGATCCTAATCAACTCTACTTTGAGATGGCTTCTTATCTTTGAGTCAATTGTTCTCAACAGCCTTCCTAGGGAGTTCAATCCATCATATTCTCATTAATCATGTCTAACTTCAACAATTCTCAAAAGATTATTAGGTTAATGACTTTCCTTTCTAATGAGATCTCCTTAGAGCTCGACTTCGTAACAACCTCCACATGGAGGTCGACTATTTACTATGTTGGGTAGTCATCAAATTAAGCTAGCTATTTGTCCCAAGAACTTATTCATTTAGTTATTTTCTTATTGACAACCATCATGCATCTTACACCTTGCATCATCTTCCTAGTGGCAAGTGGTATTTATTTTGCATTTACATGCACTTAGTGGCAAGTGGTATATTATTATTTTAACTTTCGAAATAGGAAATACATATTTTCATGAATAAGTAATGTAACATATGTAGAAATTGAAGTTTAGGTGTTAGATATGTAAATACATAATAAGTAATGTAACATATGTTTCGTAATTTCTACTTTAACCCAATCTATGTAATTTTTTTATTTATTTGGCAAAACAATATTTTGCCTGCTTTTTGCATTTTATTATCGGATTTAACTAAGTGTGGTGGATGATAGAGAAGTTACAGTCTACTTAAAAAGAAATTCGAAGTCATAACATCTTTTTGAACAACAATTTTCATTACAACTTCACAACTACTTCTTCAAACAGCTACAGCTATCTCAAACAGACCCCAAAACTCTCTTAAAGCATATATGATATATTTATGAAAGCCGACATCAAGTATAAGTCAATAGATTTTTAAAAATTAAATATTTTTTTCTTAATATATGATGCACAACAAGATTTTTGTAATTTATGATATATATAATACATAATTATCCCTCAAAATTGATTTTATATTTATCACAATAATTAAAACTGTTTCATAACTTCTTATTTGTATATATTGCTCGATTAAAATTCTGATTTGCTATAAATTATAGAGAAACTTCAAAGAGGAGCTCACCCTTGTTAACTCAAGTTAAAAAAATGCTTCCACATTAGTTTATCTAAATTCACATCTACCATCAACTTTTTTACATTTGCATGCATAAAGTCATGACACCAGAATATTATAAATATAAATATAAATATAAAGATTTAGGTGTTAGCTATATAAATATATAAGAATCAAGAGGTATATATGTAAATTTCCAATAATAAAAAAAAAACCCAAAAAATGGGTAACGTGAGATCCATATCATCATCAACACATATTAAGATGAATTTTTCTTCTAATAAACAATGTTTATAAGCCAAAAAATACTAATAAAACTCTTATGAATCCATAAAACAGATTATGAGCTTAGGGTCATAGACATGTGCATGAAGAAGACTTAGCCGAAGGTCATGGACATGAGCTTAGGGCCATTATCAGGCATTCCCATTCCAGCGGCAAGCTCAGCATCCAGTTGTCTGTGAGGTGAAGGCCCGTTCATCTGCTTCATTCTGCAATTATCACAAAAATATTTGCAAAGAAATTACTCTTCGTTTTTTCATTTTTTATGATGAGAAATACCGTTATTACACTTGAGCAAAGAATATATGGGTAATTAGCCCAAAAAATATAAGCAAAACTAGTTTATGAGCTTCATGAGCTCTCATCAAGCACCTATGAAGCACAAGAGAAAATATTACGTCTAGAGTCCTGATATACGGACTTCAATTAAAAATTGACGCATGTCCTTGTCCAAAAAACGGAGAAGCCTAAAGCCCATCAGTGCGAAGGAGTACAACATGATTGTATCAAAGATTTTTCTTCGGTACAATCATATTTTACTCTTTGGTTTTCACATTCAAATGTCTATTTGGATGTTTTTTTACCAAGTACAACATGGTTGTAATGAAGAAAAACCTCAAGTACAACCATGATGTACTCAACGACCGGATCTATGTCTGGATTCCAGACGTAATATTTTCTCGGAGCACAAACACTGAATGACCCTTCATACTTGTGTTGAAAATGTGTCACCACCACGTCACAAGCCGAGTTAGGATTTTTTCTGATAAATATTGGATTGTGACACGACACAATAATGGCAACTACATGGCGGGACACATGAGAACACGATGCAGATTGGATGAATGCTTGCGTGATACGATAAATTTGTAGGGCATTTACATACAAATCAGCCAATTCCAATGCATTTACATATATGATACCTAAACATTGATTTGTACAGTTATCCCGCCCAAATATTTCATATCATATTAAAACTATCCCATTTTAATTTTTTAAAAGTGAAATAAATCTTTTCATTCATAGGTAAGCTGGTATCATGGCATGTATGTAAAAATTGAGGTTTAGGTGCTAGATATGTAAATACATAGGAATTAAGTGGAATGAATTTAAATCTTCTATTTTTATTATTATTATTATTATTTGTGCTTGTTCTTTTATTTTTCTTTTATCTTTGAAAAGTTTCATTTATGATGTTATAGATTCTGCATTAACAATTTATTGAATAAAAAATATTGCAATGGCATATCGTGCCATAGATTTTACAACTATGTTAGGGTCGTCGTGCCCGTGTCATGCTTTTGTCCTCATATCCGTGCCCGTCATATTTAAGCTTGATAAAAATGGCTGAACTCAAATATCAATAGGCACAAATTGCTTCTTCTGTTGATTGATTCAACGTTTGATAAAAAAGATAGACTTTGGTTCTCTTTCATCTCTTCAACAAGTTGAGTAATGAGCAAAACGGCCCTCTTTTCAACGCAACGAAACCTTCCGATAGAATCAGCTTTTCGGTCAATTTCCAAACAAACAATTTCAACGCAACGAAATCTTTCTTTCAACCAAGTGTTGAGGCCTGTGGGGAACTCAGGTAAGACCAGCACAATCACAAATATTTAAATTTGATTAAAATGAGCTAAGCTTATTGAGCCACGAGCTCGGGTTCAAACTTCAACTCATTTATTAAACGAGCTTGAGCTCATCCCAGCTCGGCTTGTTAGCCCGCAAACCGGCTCGATTAACCTATTGCTGCTCATTTTCTGTTGCATCCTCCTCCTCCGGCCACCACTAACTTCTTCGGTGAGCTCAAACTTGAACTCATTTATTGGACAACTCCTACAGACTCTATATCCATTTCATAAACTTACAAAACTAAAACTAAATCTTATTATTTTCGCCACCACAAGGTAAAACAATTATTATTTTCATATCTTATTGTTGACCAAGATTAATGGCTACAGGTTTCTAACTTAATTACAGACAAATATCTTCTATAACAAATCTTAGCGGTCATCTTTACAAACTTAGTGAATATCAAACTGGAATGCCAAAGCAAAACAAATAATGCAAAATAACAAAAAGTCATAATGTCCAACAAAGTTATGTAAACCTTCAACATATAGAAGAAAAGTTTTACCGTTCCTAAGTTCTAAAACAAATGAAATAATTTTCTTTAACAGTACAGATTAACTCAACATTTGCATGTGTTGTGCGCCGTAAGTATGTCAATACGTTCGTCAGCTTATATATCTCTTGTTTCTCTTACTTTTAAGTACTCGCTAGTCTAAGGCACTATATGGCACTCCATCATGTATGGCTTGAGACGTAAGTTAAGCCAAAAAAATATATATATATCTTTTTTAAAAATAAGGAAATTTTACATACGTAGGACACATTTTCTATATATTTACATATTTGATACCTAAACTTTGATTTTTCTATTCTAAAGGAGGATTGACCAAATATTTTCCTATTTCTGTTGGATTACATCAGGGATCGGCTTTAAGCCCATACCTTTTTGCTTTAGCTATGGATCGACATTTACAGGAGGATATAACTTGGTGTATGTTTTTTGCTGATGATATCCTTCTCGCGGATGAGAGAAAAAGTCCAGGAAAAACTTTAATTATGGAGGTCTACATTGGAGTCTAAAGGCCTTCATTTGAGTAGAACTAAAACTTAATACATGGAATGTAACTTTAGTAGTAGTAGCTCTAGTGACAGAACTGTAATTTTGGGTGATCAAATTATTAAAAGATGTGATCGATTTAGATATCTCGGGTTTGTTGTTCAAAGCGATGGTGATATAGATGGGGATGTTAATAGTAAAACTCAAGTTAGTTGGTTGAAGTGGAGGAATGTCTCGGGCCTTTTGTGCGATAAAAAAGTACCACTAAAACTGAAAGGAAAATTTTATAAGACGGTGGTGAGACCTGCAATGCTCTATGGCGCTGAATGTTGGCCTTTAAAAGAGAAGCATAATACTAAGTTAAGTGTTGCCGAGATGAGAATGATTATGTGGATGAGTGGCTTTACACTTGTCAAGAAAGGCAGAGGTTATTGTATAAAAAATGATCTTAAATTATTAGAACTAAATGAAAATATGACACTACATAAGACGCAATGGAGAAAAAGGATTCATGTAGCCGACCCCACGTAGTGGGATTAAGTTTTTGTTGTTGTTCTATGGTACTTTACCTATGCATGAAAAGGTGTATTTCTTTTTTAAAAATAGTAATAGTCATATTTTTTATGTTATATAAAAATTTTCAGTGTTTATATTAAACAGTCAAAGTTTAGGCGCTATTTATGTAAATATATAAGAACTATGTCGTATGTATGCAAAAAACAAAGTTTAGGGCTTTTAGAGACATTTACATGCGTTCCACATGATTCTTATATATTTGCATTTCTAAAATCTAAACTTTGATTTTTATATTTACATTACTTTCCCTATAAATGAAAAGGTCTATTTAACTTTTAAAAACAACAGTAGTTATCTTTTTAATGTGATATGAAAGATTCAATGTTATATATGTAAAAATAAAAAAAAATTAGATGTTAGTTATGTAAAGATATAAGAATTGTCATACGCATGTAAATGTCCCAAAAAAGTAATAATAAATACGGAAATTTACATATGTAGCAGCCAATTCAAATGTATTAACGTATCTCACATCAGAACTTGGATTTTTACAAACAGAGCACCTTACGTAATGTATGAAAATATGGATTTTACTATTTAAAAGAGTGTTTAGGAAGGAATTAGGTGCTATGTTTGTAAAAATGGGAGTTTTGGTGTGACATACGTAAATGCATAAGAATTGGGTGCTATGTATGAAAATTCCCAAAATAAATAACTTGACCTACTAATCAATTCATCTTCTTAACCAATCAAATGGCTTCACTCAGCTATCCAGCCAAGCTCAAATTGAGTTGGCTTAGCCTAACTTAGATTACATAAATAGACAACCAAACAAGCCCTTAGCTACCTAAGTACAATTTCAATATTAGAAACAAGATATAACAAACCACAACATTATCTCTAGATATTTGCCAAACAATTATCCCAAGTCACAAATTTTGCCAAAAATTTACTTTTTAATGTGTTAATCAAGTAGAATATAATTATGTTTTTTTTTCACACTTTATAATTTGTACAATATTTATTAATTTACCCAATTTTTTTAAAATTTGAGGTTTACGGCACATAATACCTCGAGGCATACGCATCGCCTCACGAACAAAAAAAATCTCCGTACCCAATTGTGTAATTTTAAACATTGATTATAATTTGAGGCAAGCGCCTACAATGCCTACAACTCGATCAAAAAATGCTTCAGAAAAATGCTTTAGCTTCACTCCGACTATTAAGATGTAAGCCTCGAGGTGACTTTTATGTTGAGACACAACTAAACCCATGTGCCTCAAATAACTTTTTAGTCCATGCTACCAAACACTTAGATCAACATAATAAAATTGATGAACTTATAATTTTATAAAACCTCTTATTAATTCTTCATGATATGACCTTATTACATAACACTTATATGTCAATTTAGTCACCTAACAATAACTCTGGGAAGTTACATCATCATCTATATCCATATTCTTCTTTATAATATATAAAAGATACTCAAACCTATGAAATCAGTTTAATATTTTATTAGTTGTTAAAGTCCAACTAAAACAATATACCATATAATCATTCTTTATTTTACTAATTCTACAGTCTTTCATTTCTAAATATTTTCCTTTTATTCTAATTGTTCATACATTGCGGCAAGCATATCACCAATATGAACAATGTCATTTGCAAAGAACATGCACTAAAACGCCTCTTTAATTACCACTGACAAACATCTTTATTGCCTAAAAAATAGTATAAACTGGATGCTAATTATTGATATAATAATATTGAAATAGAAATTCTATAATCACTCCAAAATTACTTATAATAATAGTTAATGCTCCATTTTAAAGATAATTAATAGATTTAGCATGCCTTTGGCACACCTTTCTTCCTCAATTTGCACCAAAAATAATCCATATGATAATGGATCATGTATATTCTCAAAATCAATAAAAACTAGATGAAGATCTTTTCTCAATTATTTATATTTTCTCATTAATTTTTATAACATAAAAAATTATATCCACTGCACATCATCCTGCCATTAACCAAATTAATCTCAAGCGTTGTTTCATTTTTTTTTTTTATAACATAGAAATTCTATAATCATTTTTTTTCTCAAGCGTTGTTTCATTAGCCTCTTATAACTTTATTTTAGGATTCATAAATTTGATTTTTCTATAAGTATCAAAATCTTAAACATCTTATTTTCTCTAAGATATTGGTATCATAATATTTCTTATCTAATTATTTGACATTATTTCAAATTTCAAAATTGCATTGAATTGACAAAAATTGCTAGCCATATTAATGAAAAATCTCCCATAAATCTCTAAATTACAATAAGTACCTCACTTGGAAAGCATTACCTTTATGCATATTCTTCAAAGCTAACTTCAGTTTAATAAATTTATGATATATCTCATTATTTTGTTCATTCTTTTTCTTACAATAAGTACCTCACGTGGAAAGCATTACCTTTATGCATATTCTTCAAAGCCAACTTCAGTTTAATAAATTTATGATATATCTCATTATTTTGTTCATTCTTTTTCTTTTCCCCATTAAAACTCGCATTTAATATTTCTCAGAGCAATTTCTTCATGAGTCCTTAATATCTTTACATTTAATAAAGAACATAATAAATTATCTTTAATGTATCTAGCTTAAATGAGGAGTTAGATATGTTATTACTTGTCTTAACTTATCAATACTTTCCACTTCTTTAGAATCAAGTTTATGATAACAATCATTAATAACTTTAATTTTTCTGAGCGCGCTATATTATTTGAAAGACTCCTAACATTCTTTTCATCATAAATCTTAGCTATGATTTAAAATTGAGCAAGACCAGTTTCAACGCTTTTTTGAAAAATTTACAATGCAGCTCACAATGCTCAATGCGTACTACATGAGGCTTACACCTCACCTAATGTGAGACCCGCCTCAAGGCGCTCCGAGAATTTTTTTAAATAATATAAGTAAAATAATTCTAACATATATTCCTTACCTATATAACATATAATGAAGAATATTATCGAAGTTGTTACTATCAAGATGGTCATTACTTTAGAATCAAATAAATATTTGTATTAATTAATATTAATCAAATAAAAAAAAAAGATGATTGAGATTTAATGAGAAATGAAAAAAACATTAATACAATTGAGGATGAGGTGAGGAAGAAAATAAATTTTATGTTGATAATTCTATTAAAGACTGGTTAAGATATAAGAGCGATGAGAGCTTTTGAATTTAGAAATTCTAACCTTAATGATACATTATGTTCTTATTTTAATAGATGACGGAAGAAATGTGAGAGATTGAATGCATCAAAAACTACTTTAAAGTGTTATATTATTATGTATTCTTTTGATGTTTGTATTACCCTTCTTATTTTAAAGTGTTATATTATTATGTATTCAAAGAAGTGAACAAGTTATTTCTTTTATTGAATAATTTATTATTTTAATTATTAATATTTATGTTATTATTTTATTATTCATACATATTTTTGAACTTAATACAATACTTCTTGTATTGCACAATTTGTTGATTTTGAGGCTTAAGCCTCAAAGCGTCTTGAGGCTTGTGCATGCTGCACGGACAAAAAAACTGCCTCAATACTCAAATGTGCAATTTCAAACTTTAATCTCAGTTATAGTGAATAGATAATGCATGTTACATTTATAGAGGCCATTGATAAAGGTCCATACTAATCCATCATAAAAAATGAGACAAAATTTTGATTTTTAATCTAACCTGATCTTGATAAAGAAAAAGCATCCATTATTCAAAAATGCATATAACAGTCAAAAATGGATTAATCACTAGAATAAAATTCAAAAATAAAACTACAAAAAATTCATTCACACACAAAAAAAGGAATAGCAAGATAGACCATGGAGGACAGCATAACGTGTGATCTAAGAAACCTAAAATCAACAAAAAATATCAGCATTAATCACTAAAAATATAAATAATCAAAGAAGAAAAAGCTTGGGTCCTCGGCTAGGAGTCAAACAAAAAAATGATAAAAGATTTAAAACCATTAAATACTTTAGATAAGTTCCCTATAACGCTAAGAAAACAAGACACAAAAAAAAGGTATTTGAGTCATAAATCATCCATTAAGGATAGCATAATCCTTTAGCAATTACATGAAGCTTCCCCATATTGAGTTCATATCAAAATTAATAGCAAAAATTCATATGAAGCTGCTTTGCTTGCTGATCAACCATAAAGAATAAAAATTTTCAGTTATCTGCCTACAGCATAACATAAAAAATGCATCAATAAAGAATCTAACATTAAAAAGCAAATTACATAACTGTAGAATAAAATCACATTGATGTGATTTCTCCCCATCATCATCATAATAACATCAACATTATTGCCAACTACTAGTTTAACTTTATAAATTCTCCTCCATTATTATTGAATCTTGTTCGAGACATTAACATCAGTTTGCATTTTTACGCAATCTCTATCGTTGTCGATCTCTTATCCTCCGAACTCGGTTAAGTCAATTATATATATCCCGTTACTGATATATTTGTACGAACCCAAAAGAACCCTAGTTCCTATAATCATCTTATCTTCAAATGTTTTAATACCATTGTCGCTTTAAAATACAATTATTGCTGATTTAATCATTACTAGTTTTAACACACACACAATGATAGCATTCTAATTTATGCTACTAACTTCTTTGTTGTTTAACTGTTGGATCTATATAACATAGCTAAACTAACAATTTTATACATCAGCCATTAAGTAGACATATTATCCATGTCTCCTAGACTCCCAAGACATTTCTAAATTAGAGCATGTACATGCATAACACCCAAATTTTATGCATTTACATATCTAACACCTATATTTCATTTTTACATATATACCACCAAATCATTTATACCGCATAAAAAATACCACTATTTTGACTTTTTAAAAGTAAAATGCTCCTTTTCATGTATAGGTAAGGTGAAATACATGTAAAAAAATGAATTTTAACGTTTAGATATGTAACTACATAGGATTTGAGAGCTATGTATATAAATCTTCCTTCTAAATTTTAACCATCTTGTCTTGACTCTACAAATAATGTAATCATCTATATGCCCATCTTTATGTATAATAATTTCAATGCACTTATGCAAATCACGCTAAAAAACCACCTGCACAACAATTGCACACCATGGTTTCCATCTACATCCTACTAAAATCAAGGCACAAAGAGGAAACTACTAAAAACTCATAGATGCATAATTTGAAAAACCAGTTGGGAGCCAACTAAAGAAGCAAAGGAGAAAAATTTACCGTTTTTTATGGCGCTTGGAGCGATAGTGCTCCTCCCTCACCTCATCATTGGCAAAGTGCCGGCTGCAATAGAAATCATAACCAGAACTTATGTTTTTTTTTTTTTTTCTGTAAAATGAAAGTGATAGGATTCTGAACCCAATTGGAACCTATTACTATTACTAGTTTAGGTCTTTTTTGATCAACTTACTCGCAGTGCAAACAGTAAAATTGGCCCATTCCGGGAAGATCCTCATCAACGGGCAAGGCTTTGGTCTCCTCCCCTTCAGCTAGCTTCTTCAGCTCGTCAAACACCATATCGTCGCGTGGTTACCGGAACTCAAAGTCAAGGAGGAAAACAACAAAATTTGAAGGAAAATTGCACCGAGATTAGACCAAAAAAAAAAAAAAAACTTGTTTTGAGGAGATTCGAATCACTTCGCTCCAATTTGAAAACCTTGAATCCTTGATGGTAGGCGATCAAATAGTGAGGAGAAACAAAGTCAAGGGAAATGCGGGGGCAAATAAAGAATTGATAGAAAAAGGATATCCTTTAGAAGGAAACTGGAGCGACGTGCGCTTTTGTGTGAAAACCTCCGCTTCTTCACCTTCCTGTGCGGGCACTTCCCTCCCATCCCTACTCTTCTCGATCACTGGCTTGATCTGCGCTGCACTTTGATTGCGAGCAGCGGCGAAGAACTCTTGCCGCCTTATGGTTCGAATCAGGCGATTTAAGGGCGGCGTCTAGGTTTAGTGCCAAGATTTCTTTTTTTCTGGAAGATTTACATATACACCACTCAATACTTATATATTTACATATTAATCATCCTGTTCCCCATTCATGAAAAATGTGTATTTTAATGTCAAGAAAAAGTTGTATTTCACTTTTAAAAATTAAAATCTAATTTAAAAAATAAAATATAAATTTGCAATTCTAAATTATTAGACAAAGTTAATATTATTTATAATTTAGCTATAAAAATAAATAATATTTATTTTAATTATAACTCAAAATTGTCTACTTAATCTATTGAGAATAGCTAATTTTATTATGAACAAATATATTTATTATTAAAAATTTATAGCCAAGATTATAATATTAATGGCAAGTTTAAATATTAACTTGGGAGACAATTATGATTTTAAAAAATTGAGTTATGGTTAATTATACTAATTATAAAATAATAAAATTTGATAGTTTCTATGAATTGTATAATTATAATAATACCAACTCAAAGTAAAGAACGAAAATGCAATGTTGAAAGCACTTAAAAATTGAACTTTGGAATTTATATAAAATTAATCGAATAATTACATGAAATTTAATTTCATAAAATTATAATATAAATAAAGAAGATTTACATACATGCAACTCATTTTTTATGTATTTACATATCTAATGCCTAAATTTCATTTTGCACATATATTTCATCCTACTTACCCATAAGATGGGCATTTTACATTTTAAAATTTAAAATAATGATGTCTTTTATCTGAATAAAAGAATTGAGCTATGGAAATGTAAAAAATAAAATATTGGTGTTATATATGTAAATACATTGGAATTATGTGGGTGTACGTCATAATTTTAAATGATCGCTCGGATGAATCAATGCGTGTTAGGTATTTGACTAGTCAAATTGGGAAATTCATCTCAAGGTAAGGAGAAAAGTTTACGTACGTAAGACATATGCAGCGCTGCGTACGTCAGGTAGGTTATTCAGAGGGTATTTGGGGGTTATATCCACGTTATACCCTCTGCAATCTCTCTGTAACCTACCTGTAACCTACAAACATATAAAAACAGAAGCACAAAACTTATTAGAATGTTACAGGTATGTTATAAGTAGGTTACAGGAAGTATAACGAGGATATAGCCCTCCAATACCCTAACCTCCTGAAATACTCAGTGCTACGTACGACTTACATACGCAAATTTTTCTCCCAAGAAACACATTTTATTTTGGTTATTTATTAAGACTTTATAAAATTTTATGGAAATGTAAAAAATAAAACATAGGTGTTATATAAATATATATATATATATATATATATATATATATTAAAAAACCCAAGGGAATATTTACATATATTACACATTATTTATATAATAGCTATTCATTTTATTTTTAATTATCCCAAAATATAAAGTTTCGTTGAATTAATATTTCACACTTATTTATCCATATTTAAAATTATTATAATTTTTATATTGCCTGTTAAATATTAAAATTTTAATTAAAACAAATAAAATACTAGTTAAACTACTCTCATTATTTAATTAATTGATATATTTTAAAACTTTAAAAATCCGAAAATTGAAGAGGGTTTAATAATAGCAATGATATATGGCATATAACCAAATTTCACTCGGCTTAAAATTAAACATCATAACTTCAAATTAATCAAACCAAAACTGCATGAACTTTGAAATATGATAGCTTATTATATCACAAATAAATGATAAAATAAATAAATAAGTAATAAAAAACAATTAAAAATAAATAAATATGACAACACTACTTAACGCATGGCATATAACTACATTATAAACTGCAGAAAACAAGCAGACTATAAAAAAGGGGGAAATTTGCATAAATATACCACACAATTCTGATGCATTTGCATATCCAACACCTAAGTTTCAAAAGCCTATGAATGAAAAGGTGTATTTCACTTCTAAAAACTTTGGTATAAAGGTTTGGGTGTTATATATGTAAATATATAAGAAAATATGTGATACGTATGCAAATGATAAAATCTAGAATTTTAGATAACATGAAAAGATAAAATTGTTCAAAGAAAAAAATTAGCTCATAAAACAGCCTTAGAACTTCATACAAAAGAGGTAAAAAAAAAACAGTTAACCCAAAACTAGAAGCCTGGAATTAGAAGAAACAAGAGAACCAACTATTTAATCTGCCTCAGTTTCTTCTTCAGCAGTTGCTTGCTTATCATCTTCATGGCTACCTTGGCTTGCCTCCGTGTCTTTCACTGCATCAATGGAGAACAGAAGCAGAAGGAAAAGTATTAGTTAATACAATGTGCTGATAGACACTAAGGTGATCAATTTTTGTTTTTCATTTTTCGTTTTTTAAATTTATTTTATTTTATTTTTTGAATAAAAACAAAAATATCTTTCACTGAATTAGAACACAAGCCCTCTTCAATTCAAAAGATACGAGTTGATTGCAGCCCATGAAATTGTACAAAAGCAAGGAAAATTTGAAAAAAATAAATTGCCTGCAACCAAAAAAAAAGGCATAATCGTGGAACTTCTTGTAAGAACAGAAAATTATAATATATATTTTTTTTTTTTTTTGCAAACATACCATATTCGCTGAATATAACACCTCCAGAACACAAGCCCTCTTCAATTTTAACAAGCCTGAGAGTCATCCTTGGGCCAATCTCCTGAAGTTTGACTGCGCTCTTCGTCGAAGCACGGTTCACTCTGCCAAGATCATTTGCCAAACTAACAGTTGCTGATTCCTCATCTGCTTCACTCTCTGATCCATAGCCAGCTCTGAGAACAAGAAGCACATAACAACACATTGATGTCACTAAAACACATCATAGGAAGTGAAGAAACCCCAAAAAATTGTACATGTAACTGTATATTTATATTATAATTTCAAAAATTTTGTTGTAAAAGTCATTTGAATGTATTTCAAGGTAAATTTGGTACAAGTTGGCTCTTGCTGAAGATCAGCATTGAATTTTCTATTCCTGAAATCAATTGCATAATATTCCATGGAATATTGTGCATAAAATGTCCAAAGTAAATGTTCTATCTCAAGTAATGGGCAAGAAAATATTTCATAAAAACACTATAGCAACAATGAATGTCTGAATTTGAAAAAAAATCATTGATAAACTCCCATTCATTTTAAAAATGAATTTGACCTTAAAACATTGGTTCAGAGTAAAAACAAGACATTTTTTAGACTAATAAACTTAAAACCAATGAAGTTAAAAGAATAATAGAAAAGAGTCAAATAGAGTCTTGATTATTTATAGGAGATCATTTTAGACACAAAATTTATAAAAAGCCAAATAAGTCCCAAGCCTCATTTAATATGAGATTGAAATTATCTCCTCGGAGGATTATTTCAGCCCCAATTTAAAGAGTCTGGGGACTAATTTGATACTTTTATAAACTTTGGGACTAAAATGGATTTATTTTGGTACTTCACTCATTAAACCTTAAAAATGTAAGACAGCCTTTATGCATATACCATGCTGTGAATTTGTGAGAATTCAGAGCTTCAAGATATAAAATCTTACTTTGTAACAAAGTCACTCACATCTTGCAAACTCCTCAAATCGGGCACATTGTGGCTCAGTACAAACTTCCTAATTCTTCGTGATACTCCAATAGGTTGAAGTCTGATAGAATAATGCCGAAAATCAATAAGTTTTGTTTCGGTGTTATAATTTAGCAGAAAAATCCTTTGGCAGGATGAAAGATTAACCTGAAAGAGAAGATAATGTTAATAATATTGAGGAACTTGGGAAATTTGGATCTAACAAATAAGATGTAAGATATTTAAATAGAGTTTTGATGAACTAACAGTATTAATATCAATGGCTGGAAAAATATTCTGAAACATGATAGTTGTGAGTTTCAAGTGTTGACCTCCACTCCCAAAGCCAGAAAGAACAATCTTATAGAAAGTTTAAGAAATGTTTGATTAGACTAATATAGTCAAAGGGAATCAACTTAAAGATGGTAGATGGAAAAAAGGTGCAAAATACAAAAAAATGGGAAATTTATAGCACACAATTCTTATGTTCCATATTGCACACTTAAACTTTCATATTTACATGTATAGTATTTTGGTGCTTTAAATATATGCATAAGAAGGCATATTCACTTTTAAAAAAGTGATAATAATACTAGTTTTGATGTGATATTAAAGATTTGAGTGTTATATGTGTAAATATCAAAGTTTAGATGTGAGACATAAGCATTGTGTGCTATGTATGTAAATGGTGCTACAAAATTTAGCCCAAAAAGATCAGCATGCGGACTCACGAGGGGAGAATTATTAAAAATTCCTTGAGGGCACCTTGGTCGAGTTTGTGCACGAGCCACATCAGCAGCTAAAGCATATTCCTGTATTTCAAAGGTAAGCGTAGGGCCTTGAGGTGTTCTTGCAACTCTCAAATGAGGCACAGTCTTGGGCTTTGACAGAATTAAAAAATGAGTAACACCCATAGGCCCAGCAACATTCAGGAAATCCTTCAAATTATTCCTTCTATTTTCCTGCAAAAGAAAAATAAAAAAGATAAATTCATCCTGAAATTTAGCAAGTTTACAGTTAAGCAAAAAGTGTAACAAACTAAAAGAAGGAATAGAGAAGGATTAAGCCATTCTATAAAAAGCATCTGCCTTCAGGATGTTAAATGACCGACAGGGCAAAATATATGAAGATTAAATATGAAACTTTGTCCATTCATACATAGCTTATTAGGTTGTTGGGAATTAAAAATGTTTTAAAACATAGCAAATTTACTGCATTCCGTCATTTGGATAGGGAAATACAAATCAGCATTGAATTTTAACTCTAAAAAGGCACAAAATGATGATTTATTTTCACACACATACTGAGTAAAACAAACACATCATTTTCGAAAACATATTTTCTATCTAAACCGAATAAATCCTCAGATTACATAAATCTCATTGACTACCAAAAAAAATCATCAACACAATTATCCCAACTCTATCGAGTTGGCTTTATAAATCCTCAATCTACATTTGTTCATTGAGTGTTATATTAAATGCGAAATTATTCTGCACATATATTTTTGCACAGCTTCTATCCATGCTATCTTTGACCTAACAACTTTTCCTTCCAAGATTTTTATTGTACATATCTCAATTAACTGATCTACTTTTCATCATTCAACTTAATAAAAATTACTCCAGAAATCCCTCCAGTATAAGCATCCCTTAATCTATACTTCATAGTTTATCCAGACAACCAAGCTGCATTCTCATTTTTGCATGCTCAAATTATTTAGGAGCATTTTTTACGGCCCAATACTCTAAAGCAGAAAACAAAGCCAAGCTAACTATAATTTTGCAAACTTTACCTTTAACATTATTATTTTATTGCATAATATTCATAATGTTTGACTTTGCCTTAACTTTGAAAGTCATATCTTCATTCTTGTGCATAATTTATCTACAAAAAAAACCTGCACATGTCAAGTCACTCAGGTAATATTCATCCTTAATACTGACTAATATTTGTTAATATCAGACCACTAACATTACATATCGCATGCTCAGTCTTGGTTCTACTAATCTCAAGCTAGTTATCATCTAAATATTTTCTCAATTATTTTAAACTTCCATTTTTTTAGTGGATGGCAGATCAATTAATGAAAAGCATCACAAGATTGACACTAAAAATAATTCAATCCCAAAAAGAAAACTTGGTGTTGATCATTTATATAACCCTACAATGATACCGAAAATATAACTAGCTATTTGATGTAGAACAATTAATTTTATTTTTATTCAATTTTTAATCTTATGTGCATGATAAAGCACATAAGATAAAATTGAAGATTTAATATAACAAACTTTGTACATTAACAAAATTGTAACCACCAAGCAAACAAAACCAGCACAATAAATTACTATAATTAATAGCATGCATATGCTAGGAATAAATAACTATACCTAATATAAATTCCATGTTTGGCATCACATGCTCTCTTCTAAATTGAAGGATTTCTCCACAAGGGACTAATTGTGATTCAGCTCTCAAACCATCCGTACAAGCAAATAGTGTCGTTTGCTCGGTGCTTATTGTCTCATTTTTTATAACTAATAATGCTTACTGAATGCATACAAAAATCATCTTGTGATTCATATTGTGTGCTCCGAAAATTCCGTACTTTCCCATCCTATGAACTATATAATGGAAGAGCAAATAAGGAGAAGGTTGAAAATAATGGATTTAATGATCAAACTATCAATAAAAAAATGAGAATTCAAGTTCTATATCCGTCTCAAAAGACAAGCAAAGCATGAAATATCTAAATTTTGCACAAAAAGACCCCAACTTTTTGTATTCGAATAATCCATATAAGTATAAAATGGTGAGCTATCCCTTAGAATTATAAGCAAGTTCTACAAAGAAAGGGTTCAGAGTGTCCATGCTACCATTTATAAAATGCTACAAACAATTATAATCAACCTTGAGATATATTTTGCCGTACCAAAAAAGTTAAACATTTGTAGAAAAAAAAAATAGTTTACTAAGAAAATAATCCCATTATGAAGAATTCGGTCGTGCCTTCCACAAGCCAAGCCCTTTAAAGCCAAAATAAAAACATCCTAAAATAACAGATAAAATAACACCACAGGAACAGTGCTCAAAAGAAAAGTCTATACCTTCAATTTAAGAGCGGTATGCGGAAGCATGACCTTGCGGAGATCAAGCTCCAGCTGCTTGAGAGATCCGGGCAACTTTCCTCTCGAGAAAACGAAGCTCTTAGGGATCTTCTCGCCCGTCAAATGGTCGACGCTTGGCCGCTTCTTTACAGCTCGAGTATCCACCGGCATCTTTTTCTTCTTCTACAGACGAATTGTTTCAGGAAAACACATAAACAAGCAAGTCAGCTAGAAAAAACCAGAAGTTATGGCAGACAAGATTAGAGAAGAGCAACTCACATTACGAAAGCGAGCCATCCGTTGCTCGGTAGCAGGATTCAACTTAACTCCTGCAAAAAAACAGCAAAAACGACAACTGCAAACCCTACCGAATCAAAAATCCCGATTGGAGTGGTTTAGCTTAAATCCGCAAGTCTCAAGAACTCCTCTTCTTCAACACACGTCGTTGGTTCAGTCAATCCACTCTCCGGCTAGCTCCCGTCGCCACTTCCCCGCCCCTTTGTTATCGAGGGTTTTCGGAATTTGGAGTTTACGGCGTTGGGGCTGGAGGTTGGGGAACGCGCGTATGGTTTTACGTTATAACCCGAATGACTTACGGTCGCTCCCTATGCCCCGCATTCCGCGTTTCATCGCAACTTATTACTTCTGAGCCCTCAATCCCGTCTCCGTTCGGCAAAGTCACGTCGAAGAGGGGAGGAGGGGACGAATTGGGCAAGCTTTCGAGCCGAGAGGGATCGCAAGAGATGAGGGAAGGGCTCACCGACGCGAGGAGAGGAGGCGGCAACCGGGTGGTCGCCGGCGAGGACCGCCGGCCGGCAGCTTGGAGCGAAATCCCGGAGTCGGCTAGGGTTGTCGCGAATACGAGGGTGGCGGCTGTCTTGCTTGCGATAGATAGGGGAGAGAGAGTATGCGATGATTTTATAAGGAAGATAATAATAATATGAACAATTATTGTTCAATTAATTATCAATCCGCATATTTTTAGTTTGTACACGTCCTCACAATGAAGTGGATGTTCTTATTAACTAAAATTGACGTTCCGGACTCATTTGTGAAGTCCGTTTCGTAATCTGTGATCATTCAGACCACTTATTCAACAATCAGACATTTGTTTTGTCTTGTGACATCTCTTTTTTTTCTATTATTTTACTCATATTGTTCCATTGCAAACATTTTCACTAAACGAGGATATAATGATCATTTATCCAGCAACAGCTATGAATAAATTGTTTTGCATAAGCTCCATCAAACAATAAGACAGATTTTCCTGATAATCTGCAGATTATCAGATTATCATGATAATCTGCTTATTATCAGATTATCGTGATAATCTGCTTAACAACAGATTATTAATACAGCTGCCCCAAACAAACCCATAGTGTTATAGGGACTGTTACATCTCTGCATGTGTATCACTCAATTCTTATATATTTATATATCTAGCATCTAAACTTTATCGCTCATGCTTATACCACTTAAAATTTTCATATTAAATCAAAAATATTATCATTTTATTTTTTAAAATTAAAATATACTTCAATAAGATGGCATATATATATATATATATATAAATTAAAGTTTTGACGTTAGATATGTAAATAGAGGAGAATTGAGTGGTATGCATGCAATATATATATCTAAATTGAAATTTAAATGCTAGATATGTAAATACATAAGAATTACGTTGCATGGTCATAAATCTTCCTAGTATACATTCCGAAATTATACTTTTTTAGCATCTATGTAGATTTTCTAATTAAAGTTAGTTTTCTAAATTAAATAGATTTATTAGTTATAAAAATTAATAATATTGGAAATTAATTTCATTTAATTTAAATGATGCTAATTCAAAGATATTACAATTATTTTTTATTTAAATTTATTTAAAATAGGGAATTTTACCAACATACCACATAATACTTATGTATTTACATATCTAATACATAAAATTTGATATTTACATTTATAATAATTAGGTATTAAAAATGCATGCATGAAAAATTTTATTTTACTTTACAAATGATGTGTGCTTGAAGATTCATGATGGTAGATTAATGAATTACCGTCATAGTGCTGCACGAGAATTCAACAAACAATTAGATAAAAGAAAACAAATGATAATATCACAAGAAAATTTTTATGTGAAAAACCCGGAAAGAGAAAAAACACAGGGTCTGACCCAGCTGAAGAGTTTCACTATCGAAAAATGATTACAATTGCAATTATTTGTCCCACAGGAAGAAAATGGATATTATATTTCCCAAGTTATAACGTTGATGTCCTGATGAATTTGTAGCTAGGAACGGGCGACGACTGATAGAGATTAACACCGTCTAGTCAGTGATTGTCGATGGTGGTGGGCAGTGAACGACGACATTCAGTGGTGGTCGATGCAGATTAGTGGTGATCGACATCGGTCAGCTGTGGTCGACGACGATTGATAATAGTTGGCGGCAATCGACTACAGTCGTCTCTGGTGGTGTTGGACTTTAGCTCCTTCTCGAAGCTCGCTCTTCCTCAAATCTCAAGCTCTCTTCCCCATCATGAGAGAAGTGCTGCTCTATTTATAATTATTCAGGTGCAATTAATACATGAATATGAACAATTTGATCAGACTGTCTGAAATGCTTCATTTTATCAGACAACGTTATGATGAACATTTGAGTATCTTAATGATGTCGGAATTGAGGGATCGTGGGGTCGTTGGATTCGTCTTGTCAATAAGTTCAATCCGACTATAAGCTCGTTAGATTTGACATTAATTCACTTTCTAAATATACTTGAAAAGCTTCCAAAAATGGTTTAATGGTTTACTCTGTACTTGGATTGGCTCGAATTAGACTGATTTGGACCATTGAGTCCGCCTCGTCTAGCTGGTCATTTTGACTATACGTTTGCTTAACTCTGTATGACTTTTAATTAAAATTTAGTTGCTAATTAAACTATTATAAATTATTAATTGTTAATCAAACTATTATCTTTGCTAATTATAATTTAATTACCATAATTTAAATAAAAAAATATAACTTAACTCGTTAATCACTACTTAAAAGTGCTTATCATAAGTTCATAAAATCTTTAGAATCAATAGAGAGAGCTTTTACAATTAAATTATGACTAACCCGAATTTAAATGCAAAAACGCACTCCCAAAAACACTTAAATTGAACTTAAAAAATTTTACAAATTAATTGATCAACCAATATATCTAGGTTGGCAACATAGATTTTCATCACTCCTTCGGACAAATAATTTGCCAAAAAATAGATAGTGTCTTTTTAGTGAGAAAATTTTGTCTCCAAAATGCAAGCTTCGTCCGGATAACCAAATACACGATCAATTTTTTAATTTCCTCCGCTCTCTCTGTACATAGCATCCATTATCTAGATGCAGCTTACGTCCGTAATTTAGACGCAATATTTTTTCGTTTTTAAGTAGTCTAAATATGATCTCAACAACTTTCCAATACTATCAAATATCTTAATTATCTCTAATATATGAGCCATGTTAAACAATAAATTGTCCTCTAAAAAATAGCATATCAACATCACCATTTGTCATGGACATTTTTTAAAAAAAATGACAAAATATATCCTTGTGCATTATAAAAACCTTTTTAGAGCAATACAACCTTCAAAATTTTCATCATTTAACTATGTTCAATTCATATGCATCCCTCAAATCTTTAATATCACGTAAAAAACAATACTATCAAAACCTTAATAAAAAATGAAAAATAAATTTTCATGTACAAATCATGACAACAAAATGTTATAAATATAAATATCAAACTTAGGTGTTATACGTGTAAATACAAAAGAATTGTGAGGTATGTATGTAAATTTACCAAAAAAAAAAAAGCTTCTCTGAGCACCACCAACCACAACTTGTAATTCAACTTGAGCTTTCAGCTATTTTTTCACTAATTTTTAGCTTAAATTGCGGACTATTCATCTGCAACAGAAAGAAACAGTAAATTAACTGTAAATATCAGTAAGTATCTGAACTACCTAGATTTTATAAATGTAAATAACAAACGTTAGGTGTTAGATATGTAAATATTAAGAATTGCGTGTGCGCGCGTGAAAATGTATAATTGTATATAACGCTATACAAAATTTCAAGACTCACAAGCAGAGAAGGCTGTAGAATACAAGAGGGATAAAAGCATTATCAAGCTGTGTGGTGTAAGCCTCCAGTAAGCCAGTCACTGAAACAGCAACCACAAGTGACAACCAGTGCTGCAAACAAAACAATTGCATATATAAGACCTAAGCTTCAGTTTTTATGTGATATGAAAGATTTTGGTGGTATAAATGTAAAAAGTAAGGTCTTGTTGTTAGATACTTAGATATGTAAATATATAAGAATTGAGTGCTATGTATGTAAATGTCCCAAAAAATATTTGTTCGGATGGTGATAAGATATCTAACCTGAGAGAGTATATAACCGGTGGACGCCATAAGAGGTAGTAAAATTGAGCATGAAGCAAGGACTGAGGTTATGCCTGCTGCGGTACCTTCAATTGTTTTTTCTGTGGACATAAACATGATCGTCATGTCAGCAGTTCAATAGAGATCAAGATTTAAAAACATACCACTCAATTCCTATGTATTTACATATCTAACACAAACTTCAATATTTTACATGCTGCTACCTTACCTATGCATGAAAAAGTGTACTTCAATTTTTAGAAGGTAAAATAGTAATATTTTTTAATGTGACATGAAAGATTTGGGTAGTATAAATGTAAAGAATAAAATTTCAGTGTTAGATATGTAAAGACCTAGGAATTAGGTGGTACGTATGTAAATACGCATTGAAAATAAATAAAACTTTAAAAAGAGCCAACTGTAATGAGAAAACGATGATGGAAAAGTTATCATACTTCCAGTTTTGCTCCAGCGCAGAACTCCATACTTATGACCGACCATTGATGCCTGAAACACATGGATACATTGAGTATGGCAAAGCTATAATATCCACCCACACATTGACAGTTTATATATTGAAAACGTGCATGTATTACATAAAATAGAAGCCAAAACTAGAGATGACACCTAAATCATAAGATCATTTTTTTTCTTTGATCATCAATATGAAATTATTCTTGGCCAATTATTATCACTTCATATTAAAATTAAGGAAAAATTACATACAGACCATATAATTCTTCAATATTTACATATCTAACACCTAAAGTTTGATATTTACATTTATAACAGAGGTGTTAAAATCTATGCATGAAAAGCTATATTTCACTTTTAAAAACTTAGCAATAGTGGTATTTTTTATGTAAAATCGAAGGTTTGAGTGGTATGGTTAATTAAAGCATATAGTAATTCCTAGAGCAATACTTGAAATGGATTTTCACATCAAAATATCATCATTTTTTGGAAAATTTACATACATATCAAACAATTCTTATGTATTTACATTGCTTACACCTAAACTATAACATTGACATTTATAACGCTTTGGTATGATAAATTGGGTACGGGCGTAACATAAACCTAAACATAAAAGGTGTGCTTCACTTTTTATAAGTAGATAATACTATATTTTTTTATGTGAAAATTAAACATTTGAGTGTTATGCAGGTGAATATTAAAGTTTGGGTGCTAGATATGTAAATACATTGCTTGGGCGAGAGTCATATGCCCTAGTAATTAGCAACTTCATAGCTATGAATCTCAACCAAATCTTTACATCTCAGAAATAAAGCAAAGCCAATCAAACATAGAACAAATTTCAATCTAAGAAAATAATAATGGCTAATAGTCAGAAACCTAGAATCTAAATTTAGTTTGGCGCTTTCACATCTAAGAGAATAATCTTGAATCATGTCGCTCTCTCATTCAGACAATTGAAATCAAGTTGAAATTAATTTCTTAAAACATGACTAAAGGGCTTGGCATGCCTGCCTATTCTCATATTGACAATGCTCAAATTTAACGCCACCACAACATTTATTGGCCGTTCCTTATCTGCAGGCAACATTTATTGTGCTCTTACACAAATTAAACCTGAGAATTCATGTGCAATATCTTGTTCATGTGTTGCAGCCACGAAGCTGTAGACAAGACGTGCTTACACTCTTTTATTGGTCATATTCTAACCACATACCTTTTGAAAATCATGATGCAGTTGGATTCAGTAAACCAGCTAAACATATAAAAAATAGAATTCATGATGGATAGAGATTAAAAATAGTTTTATGAAAATAAATTTCATTCAAACAAAAAGATTCATCCATCAATATGGCCAAATACTTCATTTACATGCAAAATATATAAGCCGAAAAAAACCGTGGAGCACATTCGAGCCAATTTGGCAAACTGGATGCAAGATATTCTTAAATATAACTAGAAAAGAAAGTACAAATACAGAGTGATAACTTAAAAGAAACTTAAAAAAGAATTTGAAATAAGTTTTATGAACAAGAAAAGAGTACTGACCATAGTGTCTCCAATTCCCAAGCTCAAAATCCCAGCAAAAGGGGCAAGAGGTCTATCATTAAAGCCAGCGGACATCCACTTAGGAATAGCACAGCCAAGTAGAAGAGAAAAATGACTGCAAATAGTGGATCATATAGCAAAGAAAAATTAGTATTCATATTTGCTAAACTTATAAATTTCATAAATAGATAGAATGAAAAAAATTACAGTTAATACCTGACAATGAGATTTTCTGAATCACGATGATCAGTAAAGGCATTCATAAACTGATGCACCATATGTCCTAAGGGCCAAATATTCCAAATCTGCAAAATTTTTTTTAAGTTTATAGTAAGATTGATTAACTTGTTCGCATTATTGAGCTAGCGACAATTTTTTTGTTCTTTGAACTGGATGCATGAGCTAAATATCATGCGATAGGCCTACAAATTTTTGAGACCATGGTTTATTGTGTGAATAGAAAAACTATCAGTCACTTGTCTACATAGAAAGCAGCACCTAATAAAAAATAATTGGACCTATTGTCCATTAATGTTTAGATAAATGTTTCGCATCGCTTCTAACAATATTATTTGTAATTATTTAATCTTTTTCTCATTTGGCTTCTTTACTGGTTAAGTACCGCTCTGTTCCATCTTTGAGATGAATGTGTAGCTATTGATTAGATATCATAGTGTATCTGGAACCTTCTGAAAAATTTATATTTAAGCATTAAATGCTGTTTTTCCTAATCTTTGGATATTCAAAAGATTCAATACCTTATAAGGACCTCTCATATTCAATTTTCAACATTCATTTAATTACTTTCCCAAGAAAGTTGGTACTCTATTGCCTATTGCATATTCATATGCTCCTCTGCTAAATTTTCACTATATATATATTTATAGTTCTCATCTGAGCGAAAAAAAAAAGGACTTATGGCAGCCAAATAAAATTCGCAAATAAAAATCCTGCCCATTGCACTAGTTTATAATCAATAAAGCATATGTTGCTTTTTTATAGCTTCAGAACAGTCCTGAAACTACCAAGGCAGCCTAAAAGCATATTGAGTTTTTTCTCTACAACCGCATTAATTATATCAAACACTTCATTTACTAAATCAAACCTCATAATATGGTTTTGTTGATTTCAGTAACTCTTATAAAGAGTTTTGGTTACAGCAGTAGTTTATGTGTAATCTCAAAAGTTGTTTCTCTAATTTATGCATTTTCACTAGTATTGTTGAATTACTTCAAAAAAGTTATACTGATTAAATATGTTTGAAATGATTAATATATTTACCAAACATAATAAAAAACATAAAATTATTAAGCATTCAATGTTTTAAGTTGCATTGACTATGATTAGTATTTTAAAGAGAATTTTTGGGTTCCATAAAGAGACTCGGCGAAGGATGGGTGAAGCAAAAACGAATCAGGGTTTCAATAAGACCTGATTTCAATAAGACCTGGTGCTGAAGTGAGAGTTGGGTGTCGTCCTAGAGTACAAGTTGTATTATAGTACATTTACGCCTCAAATTAGAGTCTTGTGTTCAATGATACTAGGTTTTTCAATATTGTATGTCTAAGCAATAATCAAATAAATTAGTATAAATTGGTCTTACAGTGAAATAACTTGACCAAATAAATTTAGGTTGCATAGATATTTTTTCAATTTAAACTTGGAATCACATGAGCCCATTGCTCCATTAATTTCAGCAAAAACATATGAACGATTTATGTATTTTCAAAGTCACCCCCTCTGTTGCCTATATCAACGATCTTTACATACATTTTTGCATATTTTTTATGCTCCAGTTATAAACGAAATTCTATAACTTAATTTTAGCAACTTTTTTCAGTTTAAGGAATTTAAATTTATGCATATGTATACTTTTCTTTTTAGCCCAGTGTAGTGTTAAATAATCAAAGTTTCTCGTATTATGAACGGATGCGGACAAAAAAGTCTGTATATGAAACTAATATTATGTAGGACCTTGAAATATAAGTATTATCATTGGTAAATTAATATAATTAGTAAAACCAATGGTTCATATGAAGAAAAATATCTAATGCACTCAAGAAACTAAATGAATTGGAGAAAAATTAAGAAGATATCATATGTTTTAAACTTTGGTATTCATGTAGGAGTCGTACTTTAAATGGTATTGATGTAATTATATATTAAGTTTGAAAGATAATATTATAAAAATTACTAAAATTAGACATAAAATTATAACTTTAAAGATTGTTGTTGATATTAAGATTCTTAATATTATAAGTGCTTATGCAAGTCAAATAGGATTAGATACACATGTTTAGAAGAAAAATTTTGGAATGACCTAGAAGAATTAATATAAAGGATATTTATAAAATAAATAAATATATATATATATATATATTAAAGGAGATTTTAAATAGACATTTGGAAAGTAGTAGCATATTTTAAAACAATTCATGATGGTTATGGCTTTGGAGTAATTAATGAAGAAGGTAGTGTTACATTGGATTTTGCTTCATCTTATGATTTTGTTATTGCAAAAACTCTAATTAAGAAAATAAATGAATATATTATCAATTATAAAGATGAATTTAATAAAACACAAATTGATTATTTTCTTATGAGAAAAAGAGATCATCGAGATTCTAAAGGTTTTAAGGTTATTTCAAATGAAATTTAAGTACTCAACATCGACTATTTATTTTGAATTTTAATATGAATGGTTAGAAGAAAAAAAATATAATGAAATATTATCATATAATTAAATGAGAGCGTAAAAGACACAAATCATATTATTTTTATCAGTAAACTTTCTGATATTACGCTTTGAGATATTCATCAAGAAGCGAATGATATATGAGAAACAAAAATTATTAAACAAGTTGTAAAATATGTACTTGGAAAATAAAGAGGAAAAGCTATTATAAATAAAAATAATTAGAGGAAGGGTAATAACGTATAAAAAAAGATAAATATAAGAAATTTTATTATAAAAATGTAAAAATCAGAGAATTAAGTAAAAATATAAAATGGCTTTTAAGAAGTCTAAGAGAATAATTTCCAATGTTAATAATTGTTTTTAGTGATCTTCATAATAAATTAGATGCTAAAGAAGGTAAAAGATATATGTATAAACTAGCCAAACAAAGATATTAAAAAAAATAAAAATTTATTTTATGTAAAGTGTATTAAGAATGACAATAAAAAAATAAACTTCTTATATGAGGACATTCAACATAGGTGGGTGGGACATTTTGATGAACTTTTCAATGAAGATGTTGAGAATATGATTAAATTTAGTGAGTTTAATATTGTTAATAATAATGAAATTATTTAATTTTATTGTCGCATTAGTAGAATAAAAGTTGAGAAGGCTTTAAGAAAAATAAAGGGTAAAACCTAATGGTATCGCAATAAATGTGTGAAAATGTTTATAAGATTTGAGAATTTATTGGCTTATTAACTTTTTAATATTATTTTAAAAGCTAAAAAGATGTTTGAGAAGCAAAGCGAGTGTATTTTGATCACTATTTTAAAGAATAAAGGGGATGCACAAAAATGTGCTAATTATAGAGAATTTAAATTAATGTCATAAATTAAAATTATGGACAATAATATTTAACATAAGTTAAGACATTATACCAGATTTCTCAAAATCAGTTTGGATCTATGTCGGGCAAGTCTACTATGGAAGTTATACATTTATTGAGAGGTTTGATAGACAAGTAAAGATAGAGTAAGGAGGACTTGCATATAATTTTTGTGGATTTAAAAAAAGCTTATGATAAGGTTCCAAGAGAAGTATTTTGGAGAGTTCTTGAAAAGAAGATATACCTTATATTCAAGTTATTAAAGATATGCATATTGAAACTGTTACTTGTGTTCAAACAAAAGGAGATTTGACGAAGCATTTTCCTTTTTTTTTTTGGATTACAATGGGGATTGGCTTTAAGCCCATATCTTACTAGACATTTAAAGAAGTGTGTACCTTGTTGTGCGTCTTTCATTGATGACGTCCTTTTTATGGATTAGACAAGAGAAAGAGTTCAATAAAACTTCAATTATGAAGGTAAACTTTAGAGTCTAAAAGTTTTTATTTGATAGATCTAAAGTTGAATATATGAAATGTAATTTTAGTTAGTATTAGTAGAGCTAGTGGCAAGAATATAACAATAGGTGAAATTAAATTATTAAAAGGAATGAACATTTTAATTATCCTGGGTCTATTGTTCAAAGTGATGGTGATATAGATGGAGATGTTATTAGTAGAATTCTAGTTCGATGGTTGAAGTGGAGGAATGCATCGGGTCTATTGTGTGATAGAAAAATACCGCTTAGACAAAGGAAAATTTCATAAGATGATAGTGAGGCTTGCAATGCTTTATTGTACAAAATGTTAGCCTATAAAAGAGAAGCATAAAACTAAGTTAAGTGTTACTGAGATGAGAGTGCTTATGTGGATGAGTGGTTTTACTCTAAGATACAAAATGTGAAATGAATATAATAGTAGAATGGTTGGCGTAGCTCCAGTGGCAAAAAATATTAAAGAGAATTGTTTTAGATTGTTTGGTCACATTAAATATCAACCATCTGATGATCCAGCTAGGAGAGTAGTTGTTTTAGATTTGACTTATGTTAAGAAAGATAGAAGCAAACCTAAAAAGACTTAGGTATGTTGTATAAAAAATGATCTTAATTTATTAGAATAAAATGAAAATATGACACTCAATAAGACACAATGTAGAAAAATGATTCATGTAGCACCACTTCGTGAGATACATGCTTATTGTTTTATGCATACCTTTCTTTTTAATAATTTTTTTTCCAAGTACAAAATATCATCAAGGAAAATTTTTGGGTGCTTGCAATCTACCTTAAAGCTCAATGGTTTACTCTCAACCCTGTGATAGGTAAAATGTCTAGCATGCACCCTATATCCTCAAACATTAGTTGTGAATAGGATCCTTCATCAAAGGCTTTTGATTTCTCTCATTTTTCCATTTTGGCATGAATGATTAGCTCTGATTTGCATGCATTAAGCAATTCAACCCTACATAATTCCCTGAAGGTCAGGAGAGCATCATGCTTTCAATCAATTTGCCAATTAGTAGATGAACGTTTTTTTTTTTTTTTTGGTCATATGGAGAAAATGAGTTGGTCCCATATTAGCTAAAAAGTTTTTTTCTTTTGTTAGCTTGAATAAGTAATGATGTTGGCTCAAAATTGACCTCAAAGAGGCCTGAGTCGAAAGGAAAGTGTTTAGAACTAAAAAAAATCTCCACTTTCGAATCAAACCTGATAAATTGGCTAACTTCAAAGAAAATTCGAATGCTTGCCCCTTATCTTCCACATATGGAGATCATTATAATTTGGCATGCAAGCAGTTGATTTTCAGAATTCAGTGGAATTATATTATTGATATGAAATGGGAAAATAAATAATGCTTACATAAATCCTAGAATAAGAAATACAATAAAAAAGAAATAACAAAAAATGAAAGATATAACACCTATATCTCCAAGCAATCAATTCATACTAATAACTTGTGCATAAGGAAACCAACATAAAACATAAAATAGGAAAGAAATAATTGTAATCTAAGGAAATAAATTTAATTCTCATAACTTCTAACAGAAATAAATTATTTTCTAATATAACTTTGAGCTCTCCCCCTCAAGTTGAAATATAGTATGAAAAAACCAAACAATGGGCGAGAAGGATTCTTTGTGAGGTGAAACTTAAAGTCTTCATCATATACTTGGTAATCAATCTCAAGAGTATTTAGTTGACTACGGTTGTGTTTGACTGTAGTTTCTGCAGTGTCTGTAGGCAGAATGAAGGCTTCTACAGGTGATGTTGCAGGGAAGTAGACAACTAACAGGAAAAGCTGCAAGATATGACCTGCATAAAAAAAGAAAAAGCTCTGGAGGTAAGCCTTACTGTAGTAAAAGGCTCCGGAGGAGAGCTTATTATAGGAATAATTCAGGTAGAGGCCCGCTACAGGAAAAACTCCAGAGGAGGGTACATAAAAAAACTACGATGAGGGTCTACTGCAGAAAAAGCTCCATAGAAGGTAAAAGAATCTGAAGAAGGGTCTACTGCAAAAAAAAATCTGATGGAGAACCTGTTGCAGAAAAAGCTCTGGATGAGGGCCTGATATAGAAAAAAATTTCAAAGGAGGGCCTACTGTAGAAAAAGCTCTGAAGAATGTATGATGCAGGAAAAACTCTTGAGGAACGCCTGCTACAAAAAAAAGTTCTGGAGGAGGCCTGCTGCAAAAAAAGCTTCGGGGGAGGGTCTGCTGCAAGAAAGATTCTGGAGGAGAGCCTGATTTTGGAAAAAGATCTGGAAGAAGACTTGCTGCAGGAAAAGCTCCTAAGAAGAATCTGCTGCAGAAAATACTCAAGAGATGGGTCTGTTGTAGGAAAGGATCTGAAATATGTCTGTGCACTAAAAAGCTTCGAAGGACCTGCTGTAGTAAAAGCTCTGGAAGAGGGTCTACTGCAGAAAAAGCTCTAAAGGGGGCCTGCTGCAGAAAAAAGTTTTGAATGAGCGCCTGCTGCAAGAAAAGCTTCAAAGGAAAGCCTACCGTAGGAAAAAGTTTCAGATGCAAAGGAAAAAATAGAGAATGAACTGCATATAGTTTTTCAGCAGCAGGGAGAAACCGACGAAGAAGGGCTTGGAAGTCGGCTGTTGGGATTTCATTCAAGGATACATACAGTCTCGCCGCTGTAATAACCTTCCTCAAGTAGTTTTAAAAGCAAACCAAAGATGAACTCCTTTGTAACAAGCTTCCCTTCATTTCCACAATTCATGCATGTGAAATGGTGGAGGACGCCACAGAGGTGGCTGTCGAAATTTATGGCCTATAGAAAAGTGTGGTAAAGTCTACAGGGAAGTTTTCCAATCAACAGAGATGATTTTCGGTTGTTAAGGACTTGCAGAGAGAGATTCGACAATACTTGGAGGTCGAGCTAGCAGGAGTAGGTTCGACAGCCTGTAGGTATGCAAGGAAAGGGTCCAGTTGACTGACATCTATAGAGGAAAACCTGCACAGATAGTTCTAACAATGGGAAAGACTGCAAGAGGGAGTGTCAGCAGTGGAAAAGGCTGCAAGTAGGTGCCCCAGCGGTCTTTGAAGTAGATCAGGAGGGAGGTCTGGCGGTTGGAAAACCTATAAGAAGGATCGGCGGGTGAAAACAAGGATGGGAGAACAAGCAGGGAAGCTAGCAGAGACGGGAGAACTAGTGGGGAAGATAGCAGGAAAAAGAGACCCTTCTTTCTTTATTTCAGCTGAAAAGAGGAACTAAATCCGACAGAGAGACCAGGATTTCTACTAGATAAAGAAAGTCACCCCTGGAGGAATTGGGGTTTCCACTAGAGAGAAAAACTCCTGCTTGAAATTCGGGATTTCCCCTGAAAATGAAAACTCCCGCTATCTAGAGGTCGGCAAAGTCGCAGCTCCTGGCTCGGTAGATCGGGAAGGGAAAGAATCGTGTGAGATCGTAACAAAAAAGGAGGTAATGCTTCAGAGGGGTTGCAAGGATCTACTTCGGCGGCGAGGGGATGCAGACAGCCTGCAGGAAGAGAAAGCATCCCTCCCGTCATGCAAGGAGGATGGCAGGAAGGCAGGAAAGCAGTCTGAGGGCTCTAAAGAGAGACTCGATAGCTAAGATAGGGAATAGAGCTCTGATACCATGTTGATTTTTAAAATTCAGCTGAATTATATTATTGATATGAAACAGGGGCATAAATAACCCTTACATGAATCCTACAATAGGAAAGACAATAAAAAAGAAATAACAGGAAATGAAATATATAATACATATATCTCCAATTAATAAACTCATATTAATTACTTAAAGATAAAGAAAATAACATAAAGCATAAAATAGGAAAAGAAATAATTTCAATTCAAGAAAATAAATTTAATCCTCATAACTTCTAAGAGGAATAATTTTTTTCTAATATAACTTCTAACACAATATTTTCTCCTTATCTTCATGAAATTAAAAAAATACATATAATGCATATGTATTAATTAGCAAGAATGTTAATTCCTTTGATAGGAAGCCTGCACTTCAGAATATCAATAATCTCAACAAACTATATAAGTTCAAGTAGTGGCACATAAATGTTGAAGAAGAAGCTATCTGTTATTTCCATTAGTTTAAATAACAGTTCATAGATATCAGAAAATCCTTTAGCAATCATTAGATACATAATCAAAACAATAAGTTAAATTTTGCAAGTTTCTAGAAAGAACTAATTAGAAATGATGAAAATAACTTACTCGCATCATTTCTAAAATCAAGAACGATGCCAAGGCTGCGCCAAATGCTAGGTCTAGAAAAGAAGGCTGCAAAATTTGGGTGCTTTGATAGTTAGCAAAATATTTATGCTGCAAGTTAACACACAAGTTGTCTCATTCCTTACGACCTCAAAGATAACTGCAGGTACAAATATCAGAACAGCCACCAAATGATAGTATTTTCGAAGAAGAATCCTTTCAGTCTTGCTGTTCTTTGAAATATTATAGAACCGGAAAACAGCTACACAGAGAACAAGGATCCAATAGAAACATAGAGAAATCCGCCTAAATGGCTCTGTGAACAAAAAATTAAGTATCCTGCAAAAGCAAGAAAGATCTTAAGTATAAATGCACTGCTAAGAATTGCAATTATTTAAAATAGACAAGTGCACGACAAACTGTGCATTCACTGAAAGAAGAGAAAGCTCGCTAGCTGAAGGTTCAATTAGAAGTTTGTGTACCGATAAATTTATATGTGCATTCTTCTAATCTTCACCATACTGGCGCATATATTTTTTTTATATATTAATTTTGTGGGGATTTACTTACATACCACCCAATTCTTATTTATTTACATATCTCACACCTAAAATTTCCTCCTGCATTTATATCACCCAAATCTCTCATATGAAATAAAAAATACCACCATTTTAACTTCTAAAAAGTAAAATAAACCTTTTCAAGCATAAGGTGGAATGTATGTAAAAATTGAAGTTTACGTGTTTGATTTGTAAATACATAAGAATTTAATGGTATGCATATAAATCTTCTGAATTTTTTTTAGTGAGGGTCACACACACATATATCCCTCCTACCATAAATTATGACGTTCACTCACCCACTTAAAGAGATGATAAGCCAACGTCCATACAAAGTTCAATGGAAGTCGGTACATTAGGGGGGGGGGGGGGGGGGGGGATTTTAGAAAAATAACTTTTTTTTTAAAAAAAAAAGCCCATCCAGTTAAGTTACATCAGCCCACAATAAAAATGATTTAACAAATATTACGTGAAGCATCTTTGACATGCTAATTTGAGCCGGAAAAAAAAACCAGCATCAATAACCTTGCTGAATGTTTTTAAAAGGTGTCATGATTTGGACAATAGGAAGGTTTTCTATAAAGTGGAGTCGTAGGATGAAATTTGAGCATGTTGGCCCCATTGTTGGATAATATCTGGTTTTTGCCCGTTTCCTTTGCTCATTAAGTTGATAAGATGATATTTTCTTGAGCGCAATTGAGCTAGGGACTATGGGGATTTTTCTAACAATTATTTCATTCGTATCCGTTCATAATAGCCGGTAAATTTCTGGTTGTAGCAACTCCATATTTATTAGAAAGATGTGTACCCTTTCTGATACACCGGACTAAGATGGATAACCCACTAGATCAAAGAGATAACAAAAAATATTACTAAAGCACTGAAAATGTTTAACCATCCATTCTGAGATGAGTATTCCCACTTCTAGATAATCAATAACCATGATTACTTAACTAAGCAAGTAACTAGAGTAAACATAAAAAAGCCATCTAATTCAATAATACTTCATGCCAAAAGCACAAAAGAAACATAGAAAAAATATCTTCAGACATAATATGCCAGTAACTGAAAGATAGTATACATGATCACAATAAAAGTACGGTGTTTTTTCATCTGTGGATACTTCTTCCTACATAACAGACATTGAGAAAAACAAAATTTGCTTTCATAGATGATAGCTCAAACAATCTAGCAGGACAAGCTTCTTTCAAAAGCAAATATAATGAAAATCATACCATAGCACAGGATGCATGGGAAAATCCTGTGCGAAGCAGATCAATGCAGGAACCAGCATGGTCAGTGTGATGAATAAAGAAGCATAAAAAAAAACAGAACTTCCAATCCCTCTTTGTATCGATCTATTAACAGCTTGCCCCTTATCCTTATTTAATACTGTTAATTCCCACATTTGAAGGGAAAATTTGTAAAAGACGGGGAAAAGTAGAAGGCCTGTCAACACTCCCTACATTGAAAGTTCACTAATATGTTATATGCATAGCAGAAGTTACTTAAAAAATAGAATTGCAGTATTTTACCTGGACAATTGTGCTTATTTCACTATTGACAGCACGTTTGAAGAAATGGAACATTGATGATTCAGAGGTCAGATTCATCTATCAAAAAAATTAAAGACTATAATCAGGTTGACAGTGATTTTCTTCTTCTTCTGAAATAAATAAATAAATAAAGTATAGGTCAAAAATGGTTACAAATATTTGTTGATATACCTTCGACAAAGCATTTCCCAAAAAGTCCCCTAAATAAAGAATTATGCCATTGGATACCAGAAGACTTTCACCTGAGAAGAAAACAAATAGATTACACAGAATGTAGAGCATGATAATCTAAGAAAGCATGATAGCCTTAAAATTAAAAACACAATTAATTTGAACTCAGTACAATATAAACTACTTTACGATAAATAACTTATGCAATTAAAAAAGTCTGATCAAAGTAATGCGGCTGGATGGTATTTTCTCTGTTAATCGTCTTAACCAAATAGCACAAATCACATATAATTTCCAGCACAACCATATTAACTTTAATTTAAATCGCAAATAACGGTTGAAGGTATTAAAGAGCCGAGTTGAAACACCTACAGGTTTATACCTATTGAAGCACTTGATGGAAAAGTGCAAAGAATATGCTTCAGAAGTACCATAGTTGCTAGTCCATAGCAGAACATCCATGACAGGTTCATTATAGCATACCAGTCTGTGGAGTCAAAATTTAGGAAATCAAAATTTTATCTTATAAACATCAATCCCTTTAGTGATAATAAGTATATAGATAGTTTATCAAATAAAGATTTTCTTTTAATAATCTTTGGAATTTAGAATTGCATCATTTCCTTGAGAAAAATGTTGAACAAGTTATAAGAAAGAGAAAGAAACAAACCGCTGAATGATTTTCTGGCAAAAGATAGATAGCATAGTAGTCCATAAACAGACATGAAGAATAAACTGTATTTAGAAGCTTGATCCCTTCGCAAATGAAAACTATTGATACTGACGCAAGAATACTTCAGTATAAAATAAAGGACGCTAACTATGGCAAAGCAACAAGAACATGCAGCCCAAAATTGAAAGCTATAATATGAAAGCCCTGCCAAGAAAAAAAAAATAGCACAATCAGCAAAACATAGTAAAAATACTCATCCAGACTAAGAATGGTTCACCTTATCTATTAAATTTACAAAACAAAAAAAAGCTGAGAAAGTAAACAGCAAGCATCTTACCAAAAATGTTAGCACTCTAGAGTTTAAATGGCGTCACTAGATGAATTCCTACAATAGCATGCTAACATTTTCTATAGCCTGACATTATGGTGTGTACATCTTTAATTCTTGTATGAGATCTATCGATAAGGACAACAAGATAAGAGATTTGAATAGAAAGATCACGCTAGACATTTTCTATGAACGGGCAAATTCAGAAAATTAAAACCAAAACACTTACATTCAGACCCAATCTCATGGTTCGAAATTGCTCTTGAGATTTGTATCATCCTAGACAACATAAAAGAGGGCAGTGTAACTGTAGCTAAAAGTATCCCAGAAGCAGCACCAGACCTAAAGAAGAAAATTTCATTATATTTAGATGCAAGTAAAAAAAAGTGTACTATATGGTGATATGGATAGAACTTCCTGACATTACATAATATACATCGCAAGCAAGGGCAAACCAAATAGCTACAACAAGCCACTTGAAAGTTTGCAATAAATTGAAGGAATATTTACATACATACCACTCAATTCCTACGTATTTACATATCCACCGCCTAAACTTCAACTTCTAAATACAATGTCACCTTGCCTATGCATGAAAATGTGCATTTCACTTTTTAAAAGTACAAACAGTAATATTTTTTAAGTGATATGAAATATTGGGAGTTAGAAATGTAAAAAATAAAGTTTAAGTGTAAAACAAGTAAATGTATAGGAATTGGGTGGCCTGTGTGTAAATGTCTCCAAATGAAAACAAGTACACAGATAATAATTTTCTTTTAGATAGCATTTTTGGTACTTTAATGTGTTTTTAATGCACGAAAATATGAATGAAGAGACAATTATTAAAAGAAGTTTTAGATATGTCAGTTATAATGTGTTATGGTATGGCTCATATACCATATCGGGACAGACGCTGGATCGAAGCGGAGCGGAGCGGAAGAATCTGTCCAAATTGGGAAGTTACGTGGGTTGGGGTGCGGGGGCAAAGCCCCGCAGTTTGGTACAGGGGTAATATTGTAATTACATATTGTGCATAGGTTTACTCCTGGGGTTATAAATAGGCCTGTTAGTAACCCCAGGAGGCATCCCTGGTTTCTGTAAACCCTTTTCTGAATAGTGAAAGGAACTCGCCGCTCTGCTCCCGAGGACGTAGGCATCTTTGCCGAACCTCGTTAAATCTCTGTGTTCTTCTGGATTTGTGTCGATTCCTATTTTTCTTCGCCCTAATTTTCTCAACCAGTGGTATCAAAGCCAGGTTTGAGGGGAATAAAATTTTTATCGACGAAAGAAAAAGTTCGGCGGCGAGGTTTTACGAATCAGAGTGAAGGTTCTCGGACTCCGCGATATCTGTCGAAGGAGAGGGAGTTCGTGACAGGACTCTGGACCGCGGCTTGGGGAAGCAGATTGCGTGGAGATTTGCGGGAAGCGAATCGCGTGAGGGATCGCGACAGAAGCTGCTGGGGAGTTGTCCGACGCGGGAAGGAGCGGAGGATCGCGGCGTTCTGCGGAGGAACGAGTTCGCGGACGCAGAAGCACAGTTCCTGTTCCTGTTCGTGGATCGCGACGCTCACATAGGAAGGAACAGTGCTTGGGCGGAATAGGCGGGATCCAGAAAAGGGAAGGAGCGGAACTTGCGTTGATCGCCAACAGAAAAGGAAGGAGCGCCGGTCTCGAGCAGAAACGGAAAGGTTCCTGGGCAGAAATAGAAAGGTTCCTGGGCAGAAACAGAGAGGAATAAAGAAATATTCGATTTCTTAATTAAAGGAATATTCCTTCGAGGCATATATTTGGCTCCGCTGAAACAGGGCTTTGAAAATCGGAAAGGAAAGCTTTAGTCTGCTGCTTTGAAAAAAAAAAAATTGGAAAGAAACTTTTTTTTTTAAAAAAAAAGAGGTTCTAAGCAAGGATTTTTTACAGAGGAATTTTTTGCAGAAAATTTCGTTGTAGGTTCAATTTTCAGATGGCATTTTCTGGTGCGAAACGGAATAGGCGGGATCCAGAAAAGGGAAGGAGCGGAACTTGCGTTGATCGCCAACCGAAAAGGAAGGAGCGCCGGTCTCGGGCAGAAACGGAAAGGTTCCTGGGCAGAAATAGAAAGGTTCCTGGGCAGAAACGGAGAGGAATAAAGAAATATTCGATTTCTTAATTAAAGGAATATTCCTTCGAGGCATATATTTGGCTCCGCTGAAACAGGGCTTTGAAAATCGGAAATGAAATTTTTAGTCTGCTGCTTTAAAAAAAAAATTGGAAAGAAACAAAAAAAAATTTTTTTTTTAATTAAGCTGATTCAAAACATTTAATTAAGGAAAACTTAATTAAAGAAATTTAATTAAGAAAAATTCCTTAATTAAGAGAAAATTTTTTTTTTTTAAAAAAAAAGAGGTTCTAAGCAAGGATTTTTTGCAGAGGAATTTTTTGCAGAAAATTTCGTTGCAGGTTCAATTTTCAGATGGCATTTTCTGGTGCGAAATTCGAGGTGGTGAAGTTCGACGGCACTGGTAACTTCGGATTGTGGCAAACCAGGGCGAAAGAATTGTCTGTTGGCGCAACAGGGAATCTTGAAAGCTCTGCGGGCAACAAAACCAGATGCCATGGAGGATGAAGATTGGGAAGAATTGCAACAGCGAGCGGCAGCGACGATACGCCTATGTCTGGGAGATGAAGTTATGTATCACGTGATGAATCTGAAATCTCCAGGAGAGATTTGGAAGAAATTGGAAACTCAGTTTATGGCAAAATCTCAGACGAATAAGTTGTATTTGAAGAAAAAGTTGTATGGGCTGAAGATGCAGGAAGGTTATGATCTGGCGCAGCATGTTAATGGCTTCAATCAAATAATCACAGACCTGTCACGGCTTGATGTGTGTATTGAGGATGAAGATCGAGCGATGATTTTGTTGTGTTCATTGCTCTCTTCCTATGAACACCTGGTGACTACTCTGACATATGGGAAAGAGACTATCAAAGTTGATGAGATTACTGCAGCGTTGTTGGCTCACAACCAGCGGAAGCAGAATGCAGGGGGAAGCTCTCACGGAGACAGTTTACATGTTAAGGGTAAGCAGGATCGTGGAAGCAAGAAAGAGAAGGAGAGTTCTGGAAGGCGAAATTCCAGATCAAAGTCTAGAGGCAAAAAGGAAATTCATTGCTACAAGTGCAAGGAGCCAGGTCATATGAAGAGAGATTGTCCAAAGCTGAAGAAGCAGAATGGGGAGAAAGGTGAT